TTGGTGTCTTGGAGGTGACTTTAATGTTATAAGATTATTGGAAGAGACAAATAGTCTGAGGCAGAGATCGACCTTGAGTATGAGGAAATTGAATCAATTTGTGGATGTTTACGAGCTTAAAGAGATCCCACTATCACACAGTTGTTTTACTTGGTCCAATCTCCAAGTGAACCCGATTTGCTCTAAGCTGGATAGATTTCTCTTCTCAAATGATTGGGAAGAACATTGGGGGAATCTAAACTCTAGAGAATATCCAAGGGCGACTTCAGACCATTGTCCTATTGTAATCTATAGGGAGGAAGTGAGAAGTGCTGGTCCTGCTCCCTTTAGATTTGAAAACATGTGGCTAGGACACCTGGGGTTCATAAAGGAAGTCAAAGTGGTGGTTAGAAAGCAATCCAACAGTGAAATAGAGTGGAATGAGGTTTCATAAGAAGCTCCAATATCTGAAAGGCAAAATCAAGGAGTGGAATCTGTTAGAGTTTGGGAGATTAGAGGAAAGAAAGTGAATAGTGACTGCACAAATTAAGGACCTGGATGGTAAGGAAGAAAGGGGTTGTCTTACAAAAGAAGATAAGGAGCTAAGATGGAATTTGCATAAACAGTTAGAGGATTATCTTCTTCAGGAGGAAATAAGTTGGAGACAAAAATCAAGGTGTAAATGGCTGAAGGGGGGGGGGGATAGGAATACCAAATTTTTTCATGTGATGGTAAGTGGAAGAAGGAATTTTGTATCGCGTCTAGAGATTGAAGGGGTTACATTATCCACCCAAAGAGAAATAGCAGGGGCTTTTGAAAATCACTTTAGGTTTATCTTTAGAAAACCCCTAAATAATAGGGTGTGGATTGAGGGTATGGAATGGCCAACTTAGCAAATAGAGGATAGGGATTGGTTGGAAAGGAAATTTGAAGTGGAAGAGATAAGGGAGGCAATGTTCTCTATGGATAGATCAAAGGCACCAGGCCCAGATGGTTTTACGATGGCTTTTTATCATGATTGTTGGGAGATATTAAAGGGAGATCTATGGACTGTGTTTGATGACTTCCACTCTAGAGGGGTGATCAACCCAGGGCTGAACTCCACTTTTATTTCACTGGTTCCTAAGAAGAGGAATGCATGTAACCCAAAGGATTTCAGGCCGATCAGCCTAGTCAACAACCTTTTTAAGATTATCACCAAGGTACTATCCATTAGAATAAGGAAAGTGCTCCCAACAATTATAGCAGATAATCAAGGAGCCTTTGTGAAGGGGAGACAAATAACAAATCAGATTCTGATAGCAAATGAGAGCTTGGAGGAGTTTAAGAGATCCAAGAAAAACGGGTTGATTTGTAAACTGGATTTGGAAAATGTTTATGATTTGGTGGATTGGCCTTTCTTGATGGAGGTGATGACCAATTTTGGTTTTGGGGATAATTGGTGCAGATGGGTCTTGGGTTGTATCAGGAACTACCATTACTCCATACTGGTAAATGGGACAGTGGTTGATTTCTTCCCAGCCTTGAGAGAGGGATTAGGCAAGGAGACCCCCTTTCTCCCTTCTTATTTACTTTGGTAGCTGAAGTTCTGGGGAGACTAATTTATAGAGTAGATTCTAGGGGCTTAATCAGAGGTTGGAGAGTTGGGAGGGAGCTTGTGCCACTCACACATTTGCAATTTGCAGATGACACCATACTCTTTTGTGAAGCAAGGGACCCTAATAGGGTTAGAAATTTGAAGCTCACTATACGACTTTTTGAGCAAATGTCAAACCTTAAGGTGAATTTTGAGAAGAGTTGTATAGTTGGGGTAAATATGGGCGAAGGGGAGATCTTTGAGGCTGCAGACATCTTAGATTGTGCAATAGCAAACTGGCCCCTTAATTACCTTGGTTTTCCATTGGGTGATAACCCTTAGAAAGGTGAGTTATGGGTTCCGGTTGTGGAGAGGTTTGAAAAGAAATTAGCAACTTGGAAGAAAAACTATTTGTCTCTTGGAGGGAGAACCACTCTAATCAGGTCTACTTTAGCTAACCTTCTTGTTTACCTTTTGTCAATCTTCAAGATTCCGACAAAGGTGGCTAGTAGATTAGAAAAACTAATGAGAGACTTTCTCTGGGAGCCGGGGGAGGAGAAGGACCATAGGGTGGGGTGGGAGATGGTTTGTAGGAGTAAGAGGAAGGTTTGGGTATCGGGAATTTAAGGAATAGGAACTTGGCTCTTCTGGGGAAATGGCTTTAGAGGTTCTCATTGGAGAATGACAAACTTTGGGTGAAGATAGTGGAAAGTATTCATGGGGTTGCAGCAAATGGATGGGACTCTAGGATTTTGGCAAGGAATACAAGAGCATCTCCTTGGAAAGCTATTCAAGCTATTCTACCTTTGTTCCCCATGGATCAGGTATGATTTGCACTCAGGCAATCTCATTAATTTTTGGGAACATGTTTGGATTGGGGACTCCTCCCTAAAAGACCAATTCCCAAGCCTTTTTGCCCTTTCCACTTTTAAAAATGAACCGTTGTCTTCATTCATTGTTCCTTCTAATTCTATTTTTGGGGTCGGCTGGAACTTGGGCCTACGAAGAGATATCAGGGACACAAAGCTTGATGGTATCTCATCACTGTTATCCATTCTTGAAGGAGTGTTCCTTGAGCCAACAAAGGTAGATAGTAGAATTTGGACTCTCACCACCTTTGGTTTTTTCACTTGTGCCTCTTTCTTTAGCGCTCTCACACATTCTTCTTTTGCGGGCTTGTCTTTCCCTATTAAAGAGGTGTGTCATCTTATACCTCCTTAGGTTGGGAGTTTTTGTTGGGAAGCCTTTCTGGAAATAGTTAACACAGCAGATTTACTTCAAAGAAAAAGACCCAATAGTTGTTTTTGTCCTCACTGGTGTGTCCTCTGTAAAGCTGATGGTGAGTCTGGATATCACTTACTAATCTCTTGTCGGTTCACTAACATCATTTGAGAGTGGTGTACTTCTTTGTTTGGGTGCAGGTGGACCCCCCCTTCGAATGTGCAAAGCACATTCACATGTATGCCATTTCGTCCAACAAAAAGGGCCAAGTTTATGTGGAGGTGTATGAGGGTTGCAGTCTGTTGGACTATTTGGGAGGAGAGAAATTCACGAATATTTACAGATGAGGAGAGAAGTTTGGAAGCAATGCTGGAGGTCATCCACATTAGGGTTGTACACTGGCTGAAAACTTTGGCTCTGTTCGTCAGAATTCTCAGTTGATGAACTGCAAAGAAAGTGGAAGGTGATAGCAGAACTTGTTCCATGAGGAAGGCCTCAAATGTTTGTTGGATCCCCCCACCCCATGACTTTGTTAAACTGAACTTTGATGGCAGCAGCTTGGGCAATCCAGGGCCATCCGGAATAGGAGGAGTAATAAGAGA